AAGCACCTTCATCAGTCTCTCAGCTCCAGTCCTTAGCAACCACTTCATGTTACCCATAATTCAAGGTGTTCTAAATTCTTACTTCAGCAGTGGTTTCATTAATTGTTGTTTCCCCAAGAGTCTCTGCATACAAGAACTTATCTCTTTGGTTCAAATAAAGAAAGAAACTTGTCAAAAATAGATTGTTGATTTGTTCAAATTTGCGCGCTAAGGCTTTGACTAAGGTGGAATTTGATTTTCTAGCATGGAGTGTCCATCTTGATCTTTAAAAGGGGAAGGCATACACAGGACTGTCATTCCTGACTCAAAACTCTCTGTTGCCAGTAAGGGTTCTTCTGTGGGGCTACTGTGAGGCTAACTTCTAACAGATGCCTTGGGACTCAGAAATGATGGCAGTTGGAGCTGAATTGGTTGCTGTTTCTCTTCAAAGACTGATAGGATCTCTACTTCTAGCATCCCATAAACACAGGCATGCATGCATATACATGCATGCAAACAGATGCACGCACACACCACAGACACACACACACACAATGCACAAACATATACATGCATACACGTGCACAGAAATGCACATACATGTGAACATATACGAATTCTCTGAAGTTATGCCTGTACCTCAGTAACTTCCAGTTGGTCATCTCTTAAGATTATTCAATGGCTAAAACTAAAAGGCCTTGTTTTAAAGAATGGTCATACCAGAGAACTTCTTTTTCCTTTGTGACTTTTCAAGGGACCAACACTAATAACAACAGCAGCTTATCCCATGCTCACAATGGTCTCACTCTTTATATTTAATTCACAATGAATGAGTGAAGGCCTACTATTTTTAATTATAAAATAATTTACAGTTGAGAGATCTGATACACAAAGATAATAAAAGTAACCCCCTGCTTTAGAATACTGATGATTCTAGAGACAGAATTTGTACTCAGGAAGTCTGGTTCTTTTTTTGTTGTTGTTGTTGTTTAATATTGAATATCCTCTTTTCTTTTCCTTTTAAATTTTTTTATGATTTATTTATCTTTATGTGCATTGGTGTGAAGTCGTCAGATCCCCTGGAACTGGATTTTCAGACAGTTGTGAGCTGCCATGTGGGTGCTGGGAATTGAACCCCAGCCCTCTGGAAGAGCAGTCAGTGCTCTTAACCGCTAAGCCATTTCTCTAGCCCCAGGAAGTCTGGTTCTTTTTGTACCCCTGACTAAAATCATGCCAAAAGCACCAAACCATCTTATCTGTGACACCAGCTAGAGTCACTTGGCTAAGAGTTCCAGAATCTTGCTCCATAACTTTGCTGGCCTCATTGTTGGTGCTCATGCCTCAGCGTTTCTGATGCTGGAGTTATGTGTGTGGAATACCATACTCCCTAAGATTTATCATGTAAGTGATAACTCTTGTTAGGAAGTGGAACATAATCTTCTAGGAATTTGGTAAACAGAATTAATGAGAAGAAAAAAGGTTTGTCTAACTTTAGAAATGACAGGAGCTCCCAAGATCTTAATTTACTCTGAAAAAAAATCTATCCACAAATCAGTTATATCTTTTTTCCCTCAAATTACTTACATTTTGACAAAGAGTATTAGCTAGTTCTTTTTTCCACAACACCCTCATAACCTAGGTCAGTATTAGTAACCCTGGTATACAGCAGACACTCCACACAAAGAAGTATTAATAACCCTAGTATACAACAGACACTCCACACAGAGAAGAAGGGTTGAATTGCTGAAGCTCCTACAGCAGTTCCCAAAGCAAAAGAGCCCTTCTTGGAGTTTCCTGCTTAGCTGGGATTGCAACAAGGAGATAGAATTGATTTAGATGAAAACGCTTTGTAAGCAAGTCCTGAGTGTTATGCATAGAAGAATGTTTGTCTTTCACTTGGGACCTTGTTAACTAAAGCATTTCATTTAAATCATGAGGTCTTTGTTAAAAATTATGGCATATGTCTCAAGGGTAGCCTAAGCCATATAGGGTATCTTCTACATAAGTTCAGGGTAGATGTTGTGTATAGAAAATGCTGTTGTTACTTTTGATGCATGCATGCATGCCTATCTGTCTGTCTGTCTCATCAGAGTCTAACTATGTATCTCATGCTGGCTTCAAATCCTCCTGCTTCAGCCTACCCATCTATTTTGAGTGTTGTTTTCTGGTATAGATCCAATACTTTCTTATCTTTAATAAGAATATAATCTATCAGGAAATTAAGTAACATGTTTCAAGGCTTGTCAGTTCTGCTCTGAGTTGGAGCAAAAGTGTACTGTGGTCTAGAGAACAGAGACTTTAGCTCTTTCTAAAGTATTTCACTAACACTCCCTTACCACACCCAGACGGCTGGAGATGTAGTTTTAAAGTTAGGCAACTTAACTTACCAGTAACCCAGCTACTTAGACAGATCACAGTTGACTCAAAACCAGTCTGTTTTTAACTTTTGATGTAAAAAAGTTAGCATTAATAGTTCTCATTTTTGAAGATTTTTTTTAAATTATGCATATGTTGTGTCTCTGTGTGGGTAGTGCTGGTACCCCGTGGAAGCCAGAGACCTTAATTCCCCTGGAGCTGGAGTTATGGGTGGTTGTGAAGTCACTGGACATGGGTGCTGGGAAATGAACTCAGATTCTACGCAAGATAAGTATGTATTCCTAAGCACTGAGCCATTTCTTCATTTCTTAATATTTAAAGCATTTAGTTTTCACTGGGCTGTTCCGATGCCTTGTATTGCTAAGAAATGCCTCATACAGAATAGCTGCCTGTTCTTCCTTCCCTCTCCTTTTCTGTTTCCCTCTGAGAGCTACTGGCCTGGGTTTGTGATTTGGAGGACAAGACATTCGTCAGCTTCACAGATGTTGCTTCCCGAGAGGGTCCAGGTGTGAGGCTATTCAGGAAAACCAATTTTAGCTTTGAGGGCTTTTGAAGATCATACCTTACAGGTTCCTCTGAGACATTTTAAATGATGAATTTTTTTTTTTTTCAGTAGGAAAAGGGAAAGAGAAGAGAAGCAAGGTGATGTGACAGATCGCATCAGAAAACAGCACCGGCCTATGCTTTGATACTATTACAGTTTACACAGCCTGCATCAGGGGAAAAGTGATGTAATCAGTCCTTAGCATCAGTATTTCCTCTCTGCTTTTAACAGCCCTTCTTATTTATATCCCAATCAAGAACTGTCTCTAAGAAGTGTACATTCAAGTCAGTTGAGTGTGGAGAGCTGTCCATGTTGTTTTATTTCAGCGTTGTTGAGCTTAGTTCTCTGTGTTTCGTTGTTCGCACCAACTGGTGAAGCACAGGCGGGCACAGATCAGGACCCTCTGTCCCCCGGTGGAATGTAGCGGGAGACTGCAGCTCCCATTGCTCGTGGCTCCCATTCCATCAGCCCTGTGTGGACACATGTGTATGCACACTGTGTCTGTCAGTTTGTGTTCCCCATTGCCTCCTAGACACACGTCTGCTCTTTACCTATGGTGCCGGCAGGCTTCCATCCTCTCTGTTCGGAGGACTTCTGAGTAAAGGGTGACAGGGCCAACTCAGATTCCAGTTACCATTTAACTTAGTTTGAATTATTATTATTTTCACTAAGAATCAGTCTCCTTGTGTCTAAAACAAAGATATTTAACAATTTTTATAAGGGTTAAGGAGAAGGATTTAAAAAAAAGAAACACAAAGCACACCATAAATATTGGCACCTTTCCTTGCAGCACCCTCTGTAGGCTTATTGGATGCTTCAGAGTTGAAGTTATGCCCCCAGAGTGCTTTCTTGGAAGGACTTACTTGGCACACGTGCCGCCTCAGCATTGTTTGCCTTGTATTTGCTGTCTTCCCAAGCTGCTTGTAATTTCTGAAAAGCAAGAACTCTTGAAACCGAATCCTCAGCTTTGGCAGTATCTTTGCTGTATGTGAGAAGAATTCCTTTGGAAAGTGACTCCCTCAGTCTGCAGTCACACTTAAATGTCCTGGTATAGGAAAGAAATTACTTACATGTTCTTAACCAAATGGTTGTCTCTACTAAGAAATCTGTGGCCTTCCAGTGATTGTATCTTCAGTGACAGTATACAGAGAGCAGAAAGGAGGAGGAAAGATCCCATTCAGTGAGCCAGACCATCTGAGACAAACAGTGACAAAGGAGAGATGTCTCAGCACAGCAGACATAGTATTCTCTGGCCCAGACCATCAGGTGGAACTCAGTCCTGGGAGTGTCAACAGATATTCCTGATAGGGCCAAATCCTTTGACTCCCAGCACAACTGTAGTGAGATCAGTCCCACTGTGTGAATGATGAAAGTAGCAAAAAGTGCCAGGGGCTCATTCAAGATTTAACTTGTTCTTAGAACATCTTTACCCAGGCAGCCGGAACATGCTGTCTGAAAGGAAATCAAGCAACCTTTTCACACTGCAGTCTTAATGTGGGATTGCTGCTATCGTTCTCCTTTAATTCCTTGGGTTTTAATGCATATAACTTAAGTCATTTCTCACCTTTTGGTATGACTCATATGAGCTATATGAAAGACTAGTATATTTTTCTGTAATCCATTATTCTCAGACATATCCAGGCTCTATATTCCTCACTTTTTTTGGTTTTTCAAGACAGGGTTTCTCTGTAGTTTTGGAGCCTGTCCTGGAACTAGCTCTTGTAGACCAGGCTGGCCTTGAACTCACAGATATCTGCCTGCCTCTGCCTCCCGAGTGCTGGGATTAAAGGTATGTGCCACCACTGCTTTTTATAGTGTCTTTAGCTTCAAGGGGATATTTTACAGTGATGAATAAAAACAAGATCTTGAGGCTTGAACTTTGTTGCCTACCAGCTTTTCACCGAAATACTTGATTCTTACAATACCATAGCAGCCAAAACTTGAATTTCAGTAAAAGTCATGGGTCACATGCATACGCCTATGTACTGCTTTCTGCACTGTCTTCATTGTCACCTTTTGCTCTTGATGTTTCGGGACCTTACATTATGAGGCAATGTGAGAGATGTTTCTAATGTGTGTATCTGTATCTCTTGTCATTGAGGTCATTGTCATGAGAAAGCCCTGGACAACAGCCATGACAAACAGAAATATTTTGGCAACCCACAGTCACTGGATGCTGCTGAAGAAGAGCCCTCTAAGCAAGGAGCAGAGGAGGACCCTGTGCTTTCTGTTGAGAACTCAGGGAGGGGCTCAGATGCCCTTAGACTTGAAAGTAAGTTGATTTGACCTGAGCTATGCTTCTGTGGGAAAATCAACTCCCAGACATCAGGCTTACACTCCTCTCTCCTCTCAAGAGTTTGTATCCTTCTTGTGACACTCAGAGAGTCAGGAGAGTGGCTCCAAATGACGGGGAAGCACTCTTCACACGCTTTCTTCCTTTTCCGTCCCTCTTTTGCTAGAACAGACTTGATTCATGCATGTGCCTCTTTCTTTCGATGCTCTCAGTCTGTGCAGTGAGTCACTGCTGAGAGGAACATCTCCGGCTTCTGGCATCCTTTGCTCTTGACCCTGGCCTGTCCTCAGATGCTCTCCCACTTTCCTCACATACTCTGTCCTGTGTCAGCAGCACACCTGTATCCTGGCCTTGCTCTTCTTCCTGCCCATGCAGTGTCTTGCCTTCGGTGGTACAGATTCCTATGAGTACACCAGTGACTCCCAGGCTGTGCTTGGCTTAAGGCTTCTCCACAGCTCCAGCTAATTTTTGTAGGCTCTTTCTCTTGATGAATAGGGTCGGCATTTGAACTGAAGTGTTTAATTCGATATCCTATCCTGTGATTGCAGTTCAACCCACCCAGGTCCCCTTTATCTCCTCAGTCTCTAAGACCTATTGAAGCTCTCATTTCTTCATCTACTCTCCCTGCTACTAACTGACTCAGCCCATCTTCACTTTCTGCCCTTCCTCTTAATCTGTTTTCCTAACTATACCTTTTATCTTTTACTTCGAATATGCGCTATCTCTCTGTGTGTGCATACATGTCTATATAGAATTAGAAATATATATGTGTGTATATATATATATGTGTGTGTGTATATATATATGTGTGTGTGTGTATATATATATATAGTGTGTGTGTGTGTGTGTGTGTGTGTGTGTGTGTGTGTGTAGAGAAGACCAACAAAGTTCATTGTTATGGATTCATGGTGGGCCCCAAGAGTTGTTTCTTTCTTTTTTTTTTTTTGAGTTGTTTCTTAAATATACTTCTAATCAGGTAAGTTTCCTAAGCCTAAATTTCTCAGGAACTCTCTATTATGATTCAGAAGAATCTAAACTAGTGTGGGCCATTAGGCAGCTTGGCCTCCATTCCTTTTGTAACTATACCTTAGCAGGAAGTACAATGCCCATTCCTCTCTCAGGCCTCTTTTGAGCCTCCATATCCTTCACACAGACTTATACTGACCTCTGCCAATGCTTTGCTGACCTGGGCATGTAGCTCAAATGGTAATGCTTTCCTGGCAAGTACAAAGTCCTGGGTTTGTTCCCAGTACTGCATGAGCTGGGTGTGGAGGGTCACATATCAGCTACATAGGGAATTCAAGGCCAGCCTGGTATGTGTGAGACTATCTCAAAAAGGGAGGGAGGGTGGGAGGAAGAAAGATAGATCCTATACATTTCCAGTGTTGCCTCCTCTGTGAAACATTCACAAAGGTTTTCAAACATTTAAGAAACTCCATCTGCTATCTTTATTTTACATTTTACAAAACACATTTTATATATTGAAATTTGTTTGTGTGTCTTGGCTTCCATCAGGTTATGAGCTTTCATTAACTCTTTGTTTTAGATTTACTTATTTTATGTGTGTAGGTGTTTTGCCTACATGTATGTCTGTTACACCACATGCATGCAATGCCCGTGGAAGCCTGAAGAGGTCATCAGAATCCCTGGGGTTACAGAGGCTTGTTAGTTAGCTGCCATGGAAGTTAGGAAGCAAACACAGATGCTGTAGAGGAGCCCAAGTGTCCTTAACTGCGAGGCCATCGACCCAGCTGTTAATATTCATTTTTACTTATTGTTTTATGTGTTAAGTGTTGGCCCGCATGAATTTATGAGCATCGCATGCATGCCTGGTACCCCTGGAGGTCAGAAAAGTACTCTGAATCTCCTTAAACTGGAATTACAGAAGATTGTGGGCCACGTGGGTGCTGGGAACTGAACCTAGGTCCTCTGCAAAAGCACCAAGTACTCTCAACAGCTGCTCTAACTCTCCAGCCCCATCGTTTTTGTTTGTTTGTTCTTCTAGAGTCAGGGTCTTTCACTCCAGAGCCCTAACTGTGTCCTTGAACTCTCTATGTAGATCAGACTGGACTTGAACTCATAGAGATTCACCTGTCTGCTAATCAAGTGCTGGAATTAAAGGTCTGCCCCACAATGCCCAGCATACAGTTGGGTAATAAAAATAAATATATTTGGGGATTAAAAAAATAAATATATTTTTACTATTTTTTAATTACTTGTGTGTGGATATGTGCACATACATGCAGATGCCCACAGAAGCCAAAAGGAATGTCAGATCCTCTGAGCCGGCGTAACAGATGGTTGTCATCCATTGGACATGGGTCTTAGAACTGAACTGAGATTTTCTGCATGAGCACTCTACCAGGCCTTCTCTTCAGTGCCCAGTCTTTCTACATGCCATGACCTGTGAAATCTTATATTTGTTAATTGAACATGGTATTTGTCTTATGTAGGTTGAATTAATATTTAGCAAGTAGCAATATATACAGTGGTAGGTATGTGTGATGATCTGAGTCTATTCCCAAAATCCACAGGATATAGTGAGAGTACTGACCCCCACACGGTATCATTTCATCTCCAGACATATGCATGCACACATGTGTACACATACACAAATAAATAAATAAAATGTCTAAAGTAGATACTAATACAAAATCTTTTCTCCTACTATTAAACATTTAAAAGCTCCTGTATAAAAGAAGCAAGTAAGTCCTCAGGGAGACCACCACTGGTGGGAACGATTGTGTCTTTTCTGCCCACTGTGACCTTCACCCTTATTGATTTAGAGAAATAATCAATTCTATTAGAAAGTATTAGACTTTAAGGAAACTAAATCTCCCTTACCAACTCACAGGAATTAATCCTTAAACTGGACAGTGGGTTTGCTCATTTAGTCAGGATGACTCCTCTCTGGAGCCTAGCCATCTCGTGTCTTTTTTGACACCATTACACCCACACAGTTCCCTGAACATCCTGAGATCCTTGGGCTTACAGTCATCAGAAAGGACACTGAGTCATGCTAGAGTATTTCACCCATTTATAGAAATGGTCCCTATTCCATTACAACTCTCTAGTATCTAGGATATTTATGACTACTACATTAATCACTGTTTTTCTCTAGGACAATTTAGAGTAAAACCCAACCACAATTTTGCACCATCTCTCTTTTGTATAACACATCATTGCCTGAGTCAGCAATCACCTGCTCAACATTTCTGTATCTTCAATTCCATGTTCTCCATGTGTTTCTATTCAGCCCCCATGCTTAGGATGAGCCATACTTACCCTGACTGGGGCAGGGAATTTCTCGAGCCCCTTCAGCGTCATGCAGACTTACTGAGGCGGATTCCTTTTGTCTCTGATGATTCTGCTCAGTGTGAGGAGTGAACACTTTTAGGCACTCACTTTTCTTGGCCGTGTGTCAATCACCTGGAGTTCTTTGTCTTATCTTCTGGGTACCAATAACATGTCCACAAGAGAACAGTCCACATGTTTTTATCAGTAGGCTTTCTTTGCTGAGTTGTAACAAGTCCTCCTTTTTACCGCAAGCATATGATAGTGTGTTTTCATGGACACAGCCAAACATAAACATTAAAGGCATTTTGAGAAGTCTAGTTTTGGGGGAAAATTTAAAGAAATACAAATAGTTAGGTCCTCTCTGGTGACTGTTAACCGTAATGGTAATTCCTGCCTTTTGGTGGCATTTTGTAACTTACACGGGATTGTGCATCACTAACTTGTGAAACAGATATCCTTAAGCCCACTGTATAGATAGCCAATTAGGGCTCAGGAAAGTTAGATAACTCCCTCAAATTGTCAGAAAGTGGCATATCTAAAATTATATTTAGCCTCATGATGCATGTGGTCTCATTATTAGTGGACTTCAGAAATAGAGGTTTGATGGGTGAGAACATCATTTTTAGTTGGTAAGTCAGTCCTGATCAAAAATGTACATCCAGACACCTTATCCACCAACACACATTTCCCTAGAGAAGAAAGAACTTTACTCATGTGTCCTTTCTTAAAAATTTCACTTTGCTGATAGTGAAGATGATGCCACTGATTGACATTTTCAGATCACTGCTCAGTACCTGTTTCCCTGGTCCACAGGTCCTCAGTGGCAAGCCACCACTAGAGAAGGAAGATGTAGATGCTGTACAGAGACAGTGGTATCATGACCTACTTCCACCACCACTGGGTGTTAAAGCTTGAGCAGGTCACCTCCCTGAGCCAAGTCCTTAACGCATAGGAGCACCTGTTAGTTGAAGGAGCCCTCATATTGGTAACAGAGCCCCCTAGGGAAGATTCCCATTGGCTTTCCTAGATTGTCCTCTGAGTTGTTGCTCCTGCTGTACTGACTCACACAGAAGAAGAAAGAGCACCACTGCTTTGTTTTTTGTTTTTGTTTCTCTGCTCAGAACACATCAAACCTCCCTGCCCACCTTGGTGTGAGTGCTTAACTCTAGGCCCTGCTTTCTGATTAGCATCCTTATGGTTTACACCAGTGCTTGTGACATAAGTTCCCCAGCAGACCTTCAGCTTTGCAACCTGACTTACAATCAAGGAGGATACTGGAGCACCAGACAGTATTGCCCAGGGCCCTAACTGGTTACATCCTAATTTGAAACCAAGTTAGTCTGTGTCCTGTGTTTGGTATCATTAAAAGTGAGTATTCTCCACTGCCCTTCGTGATTCTCACTTGGAATCCCAGTACTTGGAAAGCAGAGGCAAAAAGGATCAATGAGCTTGAGGCCAGTTCAGGATGTATAGCAAGCTCAAGGCCAGACTGAATGGCATGACAGAGCCTGGCTTCAAACAGACCATAGAGGGGGTGTTTTAAGTCAGACCTGAAGGTCTTGCCTTTAGGCTGTTTACTGTGCCTGTACTTTTTGTGAATCTATTCACATCTTTCTAACCTTTGCTCCTTAAAATGCTCTCAAAGCTGCTCTTCTGAAACTATAAATGCATTTCTTACCTCCTCACCCCCGCCAAAAAAAGATAATCACATTCTTTTTTTCCCGTTCTGATGTTTCTTTCCCTCCCAATAGTGCCCCTAGCAGCAAGTCATCCACTGGTTCTGTGCCTGCCCTGGGCATCTGGACCTCCCATCTCTACTTTGATGATCCATTCCATTGTTCATTGATTTAAACCTTTCTAACACTGAGCTGGAACACAGTGGTCTTGTTTCCTGTTACTGTCCTGCCCTCTCACTCTCCACATCAGTCCAGTGTGCTCATTTCCTTCCAGTTCTTCGCTCCAGGTCTCACCATCCTTAAAATGCTCTCACTGAGAGTTTTCACAGCTTTCCTAGCAAAGCATTTGTTCAGCTGGTTGTTTCTGAGTTGTGTGTCAGCTACCAATCTCAGCATTGTGTCACCAAGACTCTATTAGCATAGTCTCCTTTGGAATCTCTTACACTAAAGGCCTCAGACTTAAGCCTGAATGTCCATGTGTTTTTGAAACATTGAGAAATCACACTGAGCTGTTTTCATTTAAATTGGGGCACATATGATAATTTGCATTCTTAGCACCCCTACTCTCTGTGACTCTTGACAGAATCCCTAACATGACTGAAACCCACTGTGAACCCATGTGACCCTCACTGTGGGTGCTCGTGTTCTCTCCGGCGTCACAATATTTATCCTCCATTTCCCATATGAAAATAGCGCCTGCTAAAGGAGATGAAGGGAAACTGGAGGCGTGGGTGTCAGTCTCTGTTTCAGTTTATATCACACCATCTGCCCCACGGGCTGCAAGCCTAGAGTTACTCCTGCTGCTTCCAGCGTTATTTAAAATCTGAGATTCCTCCACAGTCCAGACCTGTCACCATACAAAAAGGCTGTATTTCCAGCTCTATCCGACATTTGTGCACGACAGTGCTCTACCTGGCCAGTGTCTGCAGATCACTGCTTCTTTCCATTCTAGTCTAGTCTCTAAGCTCCATGGGTTATGATATCCCAGCCCTCGTCACACTGCTCTGCACCAGAAGACATGTTTATATGAGCTATCTGATAACTGCATTAAATCCTAACTCTCTCCTAACTCCACTTCTGTAGACAGTATTCCGTTTTCATACTCAGGTTGGAAGCTGACATCCACTCATAGAAGCCTACTATTTCACATGAGACTTCAAAACCATCTTTAAGCTCACCCTATTTTTCTTCCAAAGTTCTCTTTGCAGTCCCAAAGTCAACTTCCTCTGTTTCATGAAATGCCTTTCTAGTCCCATTTCTGTCCATTCTTGTCTCTTGCCACCCACACCTTCACCACTGACTCAGTACTCCTAGACCTGGGCTGTCATCATCCTCACGGCCTTCACATACTTTATTATTATTCTACCTAAAGAACAAGTGATCCCTTCTGTAGGAACCCCTTTTCTAGACTCCACCAGAAAATATTAATGTCACAGCTTCTCTCTGAATTGCCTTTGCTGATTGCCTATCCACATGCTTTGTTCTAATCAACTTGCAAGTAGTAGCACTTTCGAATGTCTTCCTTATTTCTGCATACATATCTACTTTGTTCCGTAAGTACCTGAGCCAATGCACATATGCTTTTTAGAAAGTTTCCCCCAGACTGTTTCTCTGTCTAAACCCTGCTGCAACTCTACCTTTTCTCTGGGAAGCACTGTGTGATTGCATTCAGATAATTTTGTCTTATAAAAAATTTTAATTGTTCCAAACATATATAGCTTTGTGTTTCTAAGTTTGTTATTGTTATATTTAATTTTCCAGAGTCAAAATCTTCATGTGTTTTTTGCTCCCATCAAAATAGTTTATGGCAGAGATAGATACATACATAGGAAAAGCTAAATAAACACTGGTTTCTCTCACCCACAACGTATAGCCCATTTGTGAACCACCCATCAGAGGAGTAAATATAAACAGTGTATATGCTTAGTGTTCCCTAAGAACTGCTGTCACCCTGGCTCAAACACCCTCTGGAGTGGCTCACTGTATTCTAGCCGCAAAAGCCTGAAGTAATCCAGGGCCTTTCTTCGCTCAAATACTCGCTTCCATTATGAAATGCGCTCTCTCTCTCTCTCTCTCTCTCTCTCTCTCTCTCTCTTCCTCTCTCTCTCTGATAAGTTTAAGTTATGTATTTCTATAATACTAACTGTGTCCATATACACATGACTGAAGCAGTGGGAAGTAATAACCTTGAAAACTTAGACATTTTGCAGGTAAACAGCATGGATGCTTTCACATAATGGCCAGTAATGAAAGAAAGAGTTTCTAGCCACAGCATGTGTCCTAGTTGGGGTTTCCATTGCTGTGATAAGCCTTGTAACCAAAAGCAAAGCTTATTTTACATTACAGTTCACAGTCCATCATGAAGGGAAGTCAACACAGGAACCTGATGCCAAGAACTGAAGTAGAAGCCAAAGAGAAGATCTGCTTACTAGCTTGCTCTTTATGGCTTGCTCAGCCTGCCTTCTTAGGGGTGGCACCAACCCTCACTGAGTTAGCTGGGCCCTCCCACATCAATTCCTAATCAAGAAAATATGCCACACACTTGCCTTTAGGCTAATCTGATAAAGGCATTTTGGGTTTTTTTGTTTTTTTTTTTAATTTATTTATTTATTAAGGATTTCTGCCTCCTCCCCACCACCGCCTCCCATTTCCCTCCCCCTCCCCCGATCAAGTCCCCCTCCCTCATCTGCTCGAAGAGCAATCAGGGTTCCCTGATCTGTGGGAAGTCCAAGGACCGCCCACTTCTATCCAGGTCTAGTAAGGTGAGCATCCAAACTGCCTAGGCTCCCACAAAGCCAGTACGTGCAGTAGGATCAAAAACCCATTGCCATTGTTCTTGAGTTCTCAGTATTCCTCATTGCATTTTCTTAACCAGGGTTCCTAGAAAACTTTAGCTTTTGTTAAGTTTACAAAAAAACCAACTAACAGAGCCTCCTTATGCAATCAGACTAACGGTTAAAAAGTAGTTGGTAGTCTCCCTTTGGCCAAAGCCACGTTTTGTAAACCCATATGTTTTCATGGATGAAATTTATCAAAGACTCTGTCTTGTTTCGGAATGGGGAAAATGAATCATTTGGGAACCATAGGAGGAGAAAGAAAAAGAACCTGAAAATCAGAAAACGAACAAGTAGTGACAACTCTGACAACTTAGTCAGATGCCAGACAGCTCTTCCATGGACATTGCTTTGAGGATTCCCAGTGGCAACTCTCTGCAGCTGTTTTCCTGGCTAATATGAAGCTTAATTTTATGTTGCTTGCCATTCAGATGGGTTGAGCTGCAGGTTTTTGTTATGTGACCACCTGACAAAGGAGACCATGAGTTTAGTCTCCAGCTGTCTGCAGGCATGGCGAGACAGCAACAGCGGGACCTCAAGCACGTCAGAGATGAGATTGCTCTGTGCTCCCATCTCTTCCACGGCTACTGGGGTCTTCTTGTGCAGGCCCAGGGTTGGACATTAGGAATATAACAAGCTAGACCCTAAACGTAATCCTTGTTGGCTGCATTTATACTCCTGGCCATGAGCTAGACAACAACCAGCTGCTTTTGTTTCAATGTCCTGAAGAAGGGGCTTTGGCAAACCCACATCCTTTTCTCAAAGTACGGATCATAATCGTAAAAAAATGTAGAAAGCAGCAGTTGACATAGGAAATCTAAGAGGAACTTACTTAAGTGACAGCAGTAAGGTTTGTAGTCATGTGGTCATAAATAGAACCTCCAGATTTCTCAAGGAAGAAGCACAGCTTGACCTCAGGCTCGCCCATGTTGCACACTAGAAACTGGAAGGAGGGCAGAGGTGCCAGCAAAACAGAGGGCGACACCACTGGCCTTGTGCAAAGTTGTTTTCAGCTGTGGTCATCACTCTCGCTCGTCCCCACCCCCGGAGACGACTAACATGCCTTCTGTGGCTAAAGCTCTGGTCATGTATACGTGAGAGTCCTGACACTGGCCTGTTAACACGATGTTCTTAATCTCTGAAAAAGCTAGGATTGCCAGCTGAAGGAATAATAGAACTGGAAAAGGCTGTCAAGCCAATGTTCTCAGGCTAACCAGTGGGGACATACTATAAAAGGAAGCATTTTGCTCTTTGTTTCTGTACCCTATCCACTTCTGGAAAGGATAAGACATGACATTTATGAAAAACACAATATAAGGTCTGGTGATTAATTCAGAATAAAGAGCAAAGATTGAGTAGTCAGCGATTTAGCAAAGGAAAATATGCTAAGAAACTCAGAATAATCATTTCTGAGCATCCTCATAGTCTAAGCATGGGATGGAACTTAAAGGTTGCAAGTTTCTTAGGAAAATAAGACAAACATGCCAGATTCTTGAGAGAAAATTTTTGTTAGCAAATTCCACTGAAAGCCACTGTAGGAGCCCTTAAACACTTGAGCAACATAAGTACCTGTTTTAAAGAAATTAAGGTAGCATATGCCTATTTTATGATAACCATTATTGAAAATGGCCTCTGTGTAGAATTAGAGTAGTTTTTAACTGAATCATTGTTCAGACAACTAAGCAAGCAATGTGGACTGGACATATAACTGTTTCATGGTAACTGAATAAAATTTAAAAGGCCTACACGTTAAATAAATAAGAGTAAACATCATCTTTGCCTTCTATGTTTTATATAGAGATCAAGTGATATTTCAAAACAAATCATGGGAACCACAGCTGTCCTGTCGCTAGTGACACCATTCCTGCCTGCCTGCCTGCCTGCCTGCCTGCCTGTGGTTTCTGCCATTTGCTTTCCGGCAGGGTTTGGCAAAGGCTAAATGGCAGAGATGGTGCTCTGATGTGATATCTGAAGATGCTGAGTGGTATTCTATAAGAATTATCGCTGAGCTGCTAAGCAGAGCCAAGATGTCCGTAGAAACAAAGTTTGAGTCACTTGGAACTTGAGTAAACGCTATGAAATTATTGACAATACGAACCCTTGAATTGCAGGCACTGTGGTTGAGGAGAGCAATGGTTCTGACGAGGTGGAGAAGTCAGATGAAACAAAGATGTCAGAAGAGATACTGGCTTTGGTGGATGAGTTTCAGCAGGCCTGGCCCCTAGAAGGCCTTGGGGGAACACTGGAAATGAAGGGTCGGCGTCTGGACCTGCAGGGCATACGGGTACTGAAGAAAGGCCCCCAGGATGGAGTAGCCAAGAGCTCTTGTTATGGTGACTGCAGAAGTGAAGATGATGAAGCAACAGAATGGGTAAGAATTTGCCAGCTCGGAACCGAGGAGAAGGCCCAGTCAGGCAAGAACAAGAACCTCGGTTCACTCCCCAAAGGCCACAAACCAAGCATAGTGCCACGTGCTTGTCTTGCCAGCACTGGGGTGGCAAAGGCAGGAGAATCTCTGTGGCTTGCTGGCCAGCCACCCTAGCCTTATCGGGAACCCCAATGAAGACCCCCATCTCAAAAATAAAATAAACAGCTCCTGAAAGTGTATACTTCAAGTTGTCCTCTGACCTCCATACCCATGCATACCAGTATGTTCATAAACACACAAACGTGTACATGAAGAGTTCACCATCTCAGTCCTCATGAAATAGACCCAGCTCTTTGGGGAACTCCTAATGGCCAAGTGTGAAGTTTTTGGGTACATGCTCTACTGGACTCCACATTCCAGGACACTCTTCACACCAGACTTTTCCAGGAAGCATTTCATTTGTATAAACATTGCTGATGTCTGGGAAGGGAGAGGAAGGGGAGGGGTATGAAGCCCCTCAAAGCCACAGACTTGGGGCAGATGCGGTGCTTCTCTTAGTGTCTGTGTGCTCGTAAGGACCAGGTTATTTTGTCATTTCACTACCAAGTTTTCATTAGATCTTTAAAATTAAACTTAGCCAGATGCAGCACACACCTGTAATCTCGGTACTCAGTAAGCTGAAGCAGGAGGATGACATAAGCCCAGGAATTCAAAATTAACGCGGGCAACATAGCGAGATTGTTCAGACTAATACTACTAATAATAATAAGCTTAAGGGAAACTTAACAGGACTGGCTTTTGGAAGGTATTTTTCTTTTTCAAACTATCTATCTAAATGTTTTTAATTGGAAGCTAGGGCATGTGTCAGTGTATAGAAGCACTGTCTGTTCCAGTGCACTCATGAACCCTCTGGAGTGCTCACAGCCCCTGGAGCACAAATGTCTTCTCCCAGCATTCCCGCAGGGAGAAGGAAGCAGAGGCAGGAGCATCCCTGAAGCTCTCAGACCAGCTGGCCTATGATGAGACCCACACAAACATAAATGAGCACACACATGTACTCACATCTCACACACAGAGATTTTTAATTGATCCATAATAATTATTCATATTTATGGTAAAATGTACATATAAACATTTATTTTTATCTCCAGTGGCTGTTTCCACACATGTACACAGTGTGAATGTACAGCAACCAAACTGGGTAATTAGTGTATGCATCCAGGTTATTTTTTGAGTATAATATTCTTTGAAAATCTCATATGTATATATATTTTTATTGTATTTACCCCCTCTAACTCCTCTAAGACCCAGAACTCTCAACCTCTTTTTTCCCCCTAGTAACCTACCCAGTCCCATTTGAGTACACATAGAAAAATGAGTAGGGGACCATCCACTGCAGTGTTCAGCCCACGTGGTGCCTTACCCTTACCCCTGGCTCTTAGTCTTTCCGCGCTCTCTTCCTCAGCTGTCCTGAGCCTGTGAGGAGGTAAGATATAGCTGCCCCACTGTGGATGAACACTCTGTGTCTTGGCCAGTTCTGAGTTAACCACATTCACCTGTAACGGCGTAAATGAATGCAGACAGAGTGTAAAAATATATATATAGCTTTAATGTAGAAATAGACTTACAGAACCACCGTTCCCGCGGAGACCAGGAAAGCAGAAGCAAGCGCTCGGAGCTTGCTCGCCAAATTTATAGGCAGACATTAGCCCGAGGCGAACACGCCCCCTAAGGGGCGGGACTTATCCCTACATCTCCCCCTTTTTGTCTAAATAAGACAGAACTAAACCAAATACAACTACATACAATAACAACAAATAATAAATATAACAAACAATATTGAGAACAAAAGCTTTGCTAAACATTCTATCTCAAGGAGTCCAAATAATGTAAAGAGTAACTACAATTATATAATCTTCAACTCAGTCAAAGATCTGAGAAGGGAATAAACACTACTCAACAAACGAGATATATCCAAAATGTGCAACAATTGACAGAGACAACTGACTACCTGGGCAATCACCCAAAGTCTCGTTTGCAACGTTGAGTCAACCAATTTTGGCTAAGGCCTAACATAACTGACATACCATTATTAAAGGCAAGGAACTTTTCAAAACTATCTTACCCTGTCTTGGCAGGATATGACAGTCCTGTTTTATCCATTGATGCACGCTCTGTATCTGTGTCAGTGGTTGAGGTATGGGCATTTCTTTGCCCAAAGGCCAGTTCTGCCAAATAGAAAGGCTCCAGGTGGAGTGTTTTTGGTGCTCAACATTCTCTCGGGAATAGAGCGGTGTTGCCAGGAGCAATTGTGTCTCACTATCACGAAACTCTGAGTTAGATTAAAGGCCATTTTCTACAGCTCTTTGAAGAGGTTGAAGATTATCTATCTATACTGAGTATAATCTCTATATATCTAAAGAACCTGATTAGTCTAATTATAAATGACAAACTTAGATGACAATTAGTCTATATAATTCTCAATATCTATCTAACTTAAAGACTAAGACAATAAACGACTGTGAAACAAATGAGGACAATGACCTCCAAATATAAACAATGTACAAATATACATTGCAGTAGGTAAATATATATCAATACACAAATATTATATAAGTATCTTAATCAGAGGTAGAAATGTACACTGCAATATGGTAAATATATACAATATATATATCAATACAATATATGTCAATACATAAAAATGTTTTAAACAGAGGTAGAAACATGCATGCGTACAATAGTCCATATAATTTAACTTTGTTTCATTATACAAGAATTGATACCAATATATTTGTCTAAAAGCAGTAACTCACAATTATAAATCTATTATCCCATCATTCCTTCTTTTTTTTTTTTTTTTTTCAAAATGATCCTTGAGCTTATAAAATTCCTCTCCCAACCCTCAATCATATACTAATTATAATCAACCCCTAAATGATGTCCCTAAACCCAAGGGCAAACTTTACTGGGAGAGGGGACGTCGTTCTCTAGAATTACTTCCAGCTGTCATAGGGGCGACGTTCTTTCTGGGGGATCCTGTGAAAGTAAAATGATGGTTAAATTTCAAGATAATGTCTTTTAAAATTGCAAATAGTCTCTGAGTATTTTCGTGCAGGTCTGGCCAAAATGTTGTATAAGATGTGCACCATTTCAGCTAACCAAGTTGGAACTGTCTTGTGCAGCTGGTACCAAAAGCAGGTCTTGTAGTAGCGCTATCAGTATCATGACGTCATATCAACCAGGTGGAGTTGTTGTTATGGGGCCCCATCTTCTTCCTGGAAACTTCAAATGTCACTTCAGGAAAAACTCATTGTTCATTATGAAAAACTTAAACATTAATCATATAGACATATATATATATTCAATGAAAGACATGATAGATATATTCAATGAAAAGTATGATAGATATGAAGAGAAGCAAAGATGTTTTCTAAACTCATATTTCTTTCTGTCCCATATCATGGCTCTTGACATGAGACAGAAACTCCAGAAACTCTGGGTTTTTCTCTTACTAACAGGCTTGGAATTGGAGAGGGACTGAGCCAGAGTCCAACTTCAAAACCAGCTTTATAAATTTAGAAATATGGTTTAATATTACTTACACAACCCATTCAGTTGTCTTGATATTTCCTATTGGGCAGGTATTTTTCCATCTGTCAGTATCCAAACATCCAGGGTCCCTTGAATTTCTCAACGATGAGTGTTTTCCTGTGGAGATAAGAACAGAACCCTGCCCCCATTCTATATGTTTTTCTTACCACCTGTATGAATATCATCGTTGTGGATGAGTTGTCATTTCTCCTTTCCAAGAGGTTTCTCCTCTTCAAATCGAAACTTTATTAATTTTGATGGTATCCACAATTTTTCTTCTCCTGTGGAAACAAGAGCAAAACCCCTTCCCCAACGTAGCACATCTCCTGGCTTCCACTGAGAGGTCAGCACATCTTTGAAATAAATCGGTTGATTTAGTTCAGCAGACTTTTCCATTATCCAATGTCTTTCTGCTGCTGTCGTTCCTTTCTCATTAGCGTTAAGAAAATTCAAGGTTAGTAAAGCATTATGTAATCTATTTCTGGGGGTATTTTCAGTCCCTTTCTGTTTGTTCAGCATATCCTTTATAGTACGATTTGATCTTTCTATAACTGCCTGACCTGTAGGATTATTTGGTATACCTGTAATGTGTTTTATATTATAATAATCAAAAAAGCGTTTCATTTTCTTAGATACATATGCTGGACCATTATCTGTCTTTATTTGTGCAGGTATACCCATGATGGCCATAACTTCCAATAAATGTGTGATTACTGAATCAGCCTTTTCTGAGCTCAGGGCAGTAGCCCATTGAAAACCTGAATATGTGTCTATGGTGTGGTGTACATATTTTAATTTGCCAAATTCTGCAAAGTGGAACACATCCATCTGCCAGATTTCATTCCTTTGGGTGCCCTTTGGATTAGCCCCTGCAGGCAGTGGCGTTTGGTTATAGAAAGAGCAAGTAGGGCATTTCTTTACAATCTCCTTAGCTTGTTGCCATGTAATTGAAAACTCTTTCTTCAAACCTTTGCTATTAACATGATGTTTTTTATGAAATTCAGAGGCTTGTAGCACACTACCAATCAATAATTGATCAATTTCTGCATTACCTTGTGCTAGAGGACCTGGCAGACCCGTATGGGATCGGATGTGTGTTATATATATAGGGCAAAGCCTGTTCCTGATCAAATCTTGAACCTGGAGGAACAATGAGGTTAGTTCAGTATCATCAGGTATAAATTCAGCAGTTTCAATATGTAAAATAACTCTTTCTGCGTATTGTGAATCTGTAACTATATTAATAGGTTCTTTAAAATCCCTTAGCACCATAAGAATGGCATATAATTCCGCCTTCTGGACAGAAGTATACGGACTTTGTTCCACCTTATCCAAGTCTTCTGATTTGTAACCTGCCTTCCCTGATTTATTGGCATCAGTATAGAATGTACGGGCTCCAGTTATTGGAG